CTGAGCAAGGAGGGGAATGGGAGAAGATGAGATTGGAGGAAAAGGCTGGGCAGTTCATGGGGGGCCTGAGAGGTTCTGATAAGGAAAACTTTGAGTAATGTTGGGGTGGGAGACATAGGGAGACCAGCTCAGAAGAGTCACATGAACTGACTTGGGTTTTAAAAGCCCGTTATGGCTGCTGCATGGAAGATAGATGGGGGCAAAGAGCAAACAAAGTAAAGAGACCTGATAGGAAGTGGTGGCAGCCTCAATCTAGGGCGTGATGGTGATGATGGTGACATAGGAGGTGATGAGAAAGGTCAAATTCTGCAGAGCCTGCAGGGTTTGCTAACAGATTGGGCATGGAAGTGCAAAAGAGGAGTGAGGGGTGCCTGCAAGTTTTGCTTATTTTTTAATGACAGGGTCTCTCTCTGTCACCCAGGCTGGAATGCAGTGGTACAATCATAGCTCACTGCTGCCTTGGACTCCTGGGCTCAAGCAATCCTCCTGCCTCAGCCTTCCAAGTAGCTGGGATCACAGTTGTGCACCACCACACCTGGCTATTTTTTGTTTGTTTGCTAGTTTGTAGAGACGGAGTCTCACTATATTATACAGGCTGGTCTCAAACTCCTGACTTTGGGCAATCCTCCCACCTTGGCTTCCCAAAGTGCTGAGATTACAGGTGTGAGCAACTGCGTCCAGCCCCTCCAAAGTTTTTGATCTGACCAATTGGAAGGTTAGAATTGCCTTTTCACCATTTTCCTATGTAGATAACTTGATCTGTCATCAATGAAAAGAGGTTGGATGGGTATTACAAAAATATTGTTAACAATTATGTCTGTGTGGTAGGGCATAAGTGATTTTATTTTTCTTTATTTTTTCAGTATTTTTCATTTTTTAATATAAAATCTGGATCGTTATTACTATTTGTTAAAATTTGGGGCAGGGATGGCAAGGGTATACTCAATGGACCAGGTAAAAACACTTTCTACCTTGTTGAATTCTTTATTAGTCAGCATCTGCTGCATAAGAAAACAACCCCAGGCTCTTTTTTTTGGGGGGGGGGACAGAGTCACACTCTGTTGCTCAGGCTAGAGTGCAGTGGTGTGATCTTGACTCTGTAACCTCTGCCTCCCAGGTTCAGGAGATTCTCGTGCCTTAGCCTTCCAAGTACCTGGGACTACAGGCATGTGTGACCATACCCCACTAATTTTTGTATTTTTAGTTAAGATGGGGTTTCATCTTGTGGGCCAGGCTGATCTTGAACTCCTGGCCTCAAGTGATCTGTCCACCTCGGTCTCCCAAAGTGCTGGGATTGCAGACGTGAGCCACTGCACCCAACCTCTCAAGCTCTTCATAAGCATTTCTTTCTCACTTTGTGTTACGTGAGTTGGCTGGGGCAGCCCTGCTTCAGGATGCAGGTCAGGCTCAGGTCTATTCCAGGTTTTTCATCCTAGGACCTGGGCTCCAGATGTCTCTGTGATCATTAATCTCTTTTTCTGCTTCATTTCTGCTGTTTCGGTGCAATGGGTCTGTTACTGCACAGCGGGTATATGAATAGTATACAGATGATAATCACTGTTTGGCACTAGGTCTAGCTTTGGCTTTTGAAAAGTCAAAAAAACAAATACCCACTTTATAGTTAGTCCTGGCATCCCTAACACTGTGTGTCATCAGAGATTCTGTAGTCCTGTGGGTTTCATTTCTTTTTTGAGACAGCGTCTTGCTCCGTCGCCAGGCTGGAGTGCAGTGGCGCAATCTTGGCTCACTGCAACCTCCGCCTTCTGAGTTTAAGCCATTCTTCCACCTCAGCCTCCCAAGTAGCTGGGACCAGAGGTGCACGCCACTATGCCCGGCTAATTTTGTATTTTTAGTAGAGATGGGGTTTCACCATGTTGGCCAGGATGGTCTCCATCTCTTGACCTAGTGATCCACCCACCTTGGCCTCCCAAAGTGCTGGGATTATAGGCGTGAGCCATCTTACCTGGCCGGGTTTCTATCAATCTAATAAAAAAACAAGCAAGGCATGTTATTCATCATCAAGAGGTAACTTGGAGGTTTCTTTGTTTTTTTAATCTCTTCAGTTCTTTAGATGTTGAAATTCTATGAATCAGTTTAAGGACCCATGTGATATTTATCATGCTACAGAGGAAGCTTTGGGGATTATGCCTCAGTAACCAACAACCAACCTGTCAAACCCGGACAGCCAGGACAGCATCAGACCCCAAATCTGGAAGAATTTAGCCACTTCATGGTGTGCCAAGTTCAGTGGAAACACACACACACACACACACACACACACACACAGAGGGATTATTATACAAGCTCTGATTTAATATGCAGAAACAATTGCTAAAGATGCAAATATTTTAACAGAAAGGAATTCATATAACGATTGAGAGTATATTAACTAGATAATCTCAGGAGACCCAAATTGAGTCAACAAATATTTTGATTTTAATACAAGGCAAAACTAAATCGAGTTTACTATAATTTGGAAAAATATAATAATGCTTTGCTGTGCCACCTTTCAGAATGTTAAACAGAATCATTTTTAAGAACTGAATTTTAGTTGCTATTTAATTTCACTTAGAATAGGAGACTTTCAACCTAATAACCTACCTGGGAATTTTTCTCATCTTGTGGGTATCAATTAAAGGCAGAATGTCAGCTTTTCCAATTAAACATTTCACAAGGAGGAAAAACTCCAAAAGCACGTGCCAAACCATCCATGGTAAGTCACTTTCTGCCCTTGGATGGGACCCAGCATGTGAGAGTCTGGAAATGCTTTTAGAGGGTGTCTCTGAAAATGCTGCGTCTGACATCAAAATGCCATCCTCCTCCCTCTGCCACAGAAGAAAACATATTTGTGCTGAAAAGTAAAATGAACAAATATGGAAACCGGGACAGCGGGAGCTGGGGACAGCCCTGGGTGGGGCAAGAAACCCTGCCCACTTCTGGGGAAAATTTTTGGTGGATCCCCATCCTGTGGTCACACTGCCCTTCACAGCTGGGAAAGAGCTTCCCTACCCAGCATCTCAGTGGAATTGCCTGGCAGCCCTTTGGGGTGGGGGCTGCTACTGCCCATGTTTTACAGTTGAGGAAACTGAGGCTCAGAGAGGTTAAATCGCCTGCCCAGATTCACAAAACTAGCAAAGTAGCTGCAGCAGAATCAAACCCTGGTCTCCTTACTGCACGTTCTGAACCCTTCCTCTTGGCCAGGCCACCCCTCTCAACGCGCTCCATCTGACCCCCAACCCTTCCTCCTGCAGCTCCTCTCACAGTTTAGTGTTGCACCCAAGAACCCCATGATTCTCCATCAAGTCATGATCAAGACCACATATAAAACCCCTGGTGAACATGAGGGCAGGGCCACACTACAGGGCACCGGCCAGAGCGACAGCCTGCCTGGCTCAGTAGTGACTCCCCTGTCCGTGGGAGTATGCAAGCAGAGCTAGACACAGGATGCAACGTGGCCCCAGAAAATGTGCAAAGTGATTTCCAGCATCTTCTTCCTCTTCTCTTGCTAACTTTATGCTGTCCATTCCTTCCCCACTCAGCCATAGGATCTGGGGCCACTGGCCCCTGTACTGGGTTGAATAGTGTCATAAACTTCATGTCTACCTGGCCCCTGTGAATGTGAGTTTATTTGGAAATAAGGTCTTTGCCGACATAATCAAGTCACACTGGATTCAGGTGGGCCCTCCCTCCAATGGCTTGGGTGGTTTTAAGAGGGAAATGTAGCACAGAGACATAGAGGCGACACATAGTGGGAGGAGGGCCACAAGAGGGTGGAGGCAGAGATTTGGATGGATGCAGCTGCCAGCCAGGGAATACCGAGAATTGCAGGCAAGCAGCAGAAGCTGGAAGAGGCAAGGAAGGGTTCTTTCCTGAAGCCTTCAGAGGGAGCCGATGACACCTTGATTTCAGACTTCTCAGGTCCAGAGGGTGTGGGAATAAACTTCTCTTGTGTTAAGCCACCCGCTATGTGCTGCTTTGTTAATGCAGCCCTAGGAAGCCAATACAAGCCCCATCTCCAGCAGCTCGAGGGAAGCCCGTCTACATCTCCCAGCACCCTGCTCCCCATGACTGGGTCTAGAGATGCACATTTAACCCACAGAGGACCAGTGGGATTCTAGAACATACATGCTGGGGCTTGGGGAGAAGGAAACCCTCTCCCGCTCTATGTGAACCTGGAAGGGCATAGTTAGTTAGTGCTGAAGGAAGAGAGGTTTTGTGACAGAAAAAAAACTGAGAACAGAGGCAAAAGGAATAGCATCATCCTAGTCCTAGATCAAGCTGAGCCTTTCTGAAACCAGAACTATGATGTTTTTAGTCCAGAATGAGTAGGTTCCCAGGTAACTTAAGCCTGCTTGGTTTCCGTTTCTGTCTAAAAGTTTTCTAAGTAATCCAGGGAGTCAAGCATTGGATGGCTGTGTGGTCCAAACAGCCTTGATGATTTTTTTCTTCACTCATGCCTTCTAACCCTGTACATTAATACACCTAGAAAAAATTTTGAATTCTTCTGGCATTCCCTGCGTTCCACTCCTAAAGGGGGGATGTAACTGAGAAGGTGGCGTTACAAACAGATATTCAGGGCTTTCCACTTAGTGGAATCTGAATCCTGAATCCTGGGAGTGATTGAGATGTGAAGAAAATATAATGGTCTCTCCTTTGCAGAAAAATCAATTCAGGTGCCCTGACATTTCCACCTGATGAGGCTTTGGAGGAAATGTCCTGCTCTTCATGGGAGGCCACAGGTGCTTTCATTAAAGCCTGCCCTGTGACTGACCCCTTCTGAGTGGCAAGATTTGGCTCTTCCAGCTGGATCCTGGGGGTGACCAGTGGAGGGGGGAAGGGAGGACGACGGGGAGAACTCAGGTCGAGGCTCCAGGAGGACGCTCAGTTTGCAGCTGACCTCCCATCCTCCGTCCAAGTGCCTCGATGGCCAGCAAGGGGCTCATCCAGGCTGATTCAATGTTAAGGACTCCTTTTAAGAAAAAAACAAACTACACATATAGTTAAGTATGGATGTGAATATTTATTTAAAGTGGGAAAAGGAATCACTGCAAATTGGAAATGTTAGAAAGTTGGCAAATGCCATGAACCCCTGAAAATCCAAGTGAATAACCAATCACCATCATCGTCGTCACCACCTGCCGGAACCACCTCTGTTAACACCTGTTTGACTCCAGTTTGGCTGCAGATTGTCTTAGAACAATTTCACAGGATTCTTTTCTACAGTGAAAATAAAAAGGTAATTTAATATTTTCTTTAGGCATGTTCACTTTTTTATTTTATTTATTTTTGAGATGGAGTCTTACTCTGTCGACCATGCTGGAGTGCAGTGGCGCAATCTCAGCTCACCGCAACCTCCACCTCCCGGGTTCAAGCAATTCTCCTGCCTCAGCCTCCGGAGCAGCTGAGACTACAGGTGCACGCCACTATACCCGGCTAATTTTTGTATTTTTAGTAGAGATGGAGTTTCACCATGTTGGCCAGGCTGGTCTCAAACTCCTGACCTCAAGTAATCCGCCCATCTCAGCCTCCCAAAGTGCTGGGATTACAGGCATGAGCCACCACGCCCCGCCTTAGGCATGTTCACTTTAAACTCATTTTTTAAAATGGATATTTTAGAGAAATTTCCTTTGGGTCCACAACTCATAATTGTGTTGTTGTATCTCACGTCACTCTTGGGCTCCATGGTGCTTCCTGCCTTGGGCAAGTGGGCAGGAAACTCCAGCCCTCTGACCTCCATTGGCAGTGGTTCCCTATAGATGCCTCCACCTTCTCTTGTCCAGCTCCTCTGGGTTCTCGGCAGCCCCAGTTTCACCTCACACGTGGCTGGTCCTCGAAGGCAGGACATGGGGGAAGTGGCTGTGAACACTTTGCTTAAAGTCCCAAGCAGGAAGTGGAGCCACATCTTTTTCTGATCCTTCTCTTTGGGGTCAAAGATAAGGTTTGTCAGGGGCAAGGGAACACTGGTGCCAAGTGAACGTGGTGGCAGTGTCGGCAGCCCTCCGGCTCTGATCAGTTCAGGATCTGCACTGTCTGATCCTGTACTTCATCTTTTCCTGCTTGGGAATACCCTAACCTTTCTCTTTCTCCACCCTATTCATCCACCCTTTTGGGTCCCTTGACCTCTAATGTCTGCCCTTGCTGATGCTGACAAATAGATGATGAGGAAAGCGTGAAGGCCCCGTAGGAATTTTGTGAGCCTGTGCCTTCCCCAAGTAGAAGACAGAACTGTGCTTTCCCAGTATCCCCGGAAGCTATAATCATGTGACATCACTCTGCCAATCAGATGCATCCACTCAAGTCTTTGATTCCAGAATTGGTGATGCAGAGGTGCAAGTACATGCAAAGCCACCCTTGGGAAAAGCATTCCGTTTCCAGAGGCAGCACTGATAGAGGAGTCTCTAGCAGTGGCCTTTACCACTCAGCATTGGCAGGGAAGCACTGCTCTGTCTGGGCTTGGTGATGGTAGCCAAGGCAACCCACTGGACAGTCTTGATCTTGCTATGGTGAGGCACAGTCCTGGCTATGTAGTTCTAAGCCCAGTTCTCTGCCCCTCTTAGAAATTCACTGAACTGTGTAATATCCTTTAATAACTTAATACCTTTTTTTTTTCTTAGTGTGGATACTCGTTTGCCACTAAATCTTGGCTCCACCCAGTGGCTCATGCCCGTAATCCAGCACTTTGGGAGACCGAGGTGGGCAGATCACTTGAGGTCAGGAGTTTGAGACCAGCCTGGCCAATATGGTGAAATCCCTTCTCTACTAACACAAAAATTAGCTGGTGTGGTAGCGTGTGCCTGTAGTCCCAGCTACTTGGCAGGCTGAGGCATGAGAACTGCTTGAACCTGGGAGGCAAAGTTTGCAGTGAGCCGAGATTGCGCCACTGCACTCCAGCCTGGATGACAGAGCAAGACTCTGTCCCCCTCACCAAAAAAAAACTGGAGCAACCTTAATCATATCCCTGAACTCAAATTGGGTAACTCAAAGTTTAATAAAGGATCTATTTTCCAAGTTGAAGGCTGGATGTAGGGAAATCGCAAGGCACAGTGCAGTGCCCCAGGATGAGTAATTGAGAGAGGGTTACCACCATCAGACTTGCTGGGACAAAGTGGGTAGAAATTACGTGAATCTGGAGAGAAAGGTGAAAAGAGCTGTAAGCTAGGGAGGGATCCATGGGAGAAATATTCCTATTCATTCTTCTCCCTGCCTACTACCAAACACCAGGACTCCTGACCCAACCAAAAGCTGAGCATGGAGGCCACTGATGGAGCCCAAACAGGTCAACCTGCTGAGGAGGAGGTAGAGGTCGAATTTGTTGAGGCAAATAAATACAGAGTTACTGGTTCAAATCCTCATTCCCAATCAAACTATTTTTGGAAAGGAGGATTGGATGGAGAAAAAGGATAGAAAGGAAAGATGGAAGAATTTTAATTTGAATCCTAGTACACAGACACTCAACATAATTAGAAGGCGAAATAAGTATCATGGAGGAAATAACACGGGACTTGGAATGGTCCAATGGAAAGTGAGGTTGGTGACTCAGGAGACAGAGAAGCTCACCAAGGTGTAATGTGGGGTTGGTATCTCCCCAGCAGTCCAGGTAAGGGGATAGTCCTAAGGTAGAAGGATGGAGGACAGGGCAGAGATAATGGACAAGTCTGTAATTTTGGTAGTGGCCCTCTGTAGTGGTCAGGCTGTCTGGCTGCAAGTAACAGACACATAAAATAGCAGTGGCTTAAATGAGCTAGAAGGTATTTCTCTTTCAACCAAAGATTAACATGATGCCATTGAGGGGAGAATCGGGGAGAGATGCGTGGTGTCTCCCCTAGGTCTCTGTAAGAGTTACTACATATAAATAGCTCAAAGGCACAGATGATAGTAAAATGTAGTAAAATTAGATAACGAATTTTGAGTATATTTTTGTTTTAATATAATTTAATTATAAATTTAAATCAATTAATTTGTTAAAAATGTCTGTTTACCAACTCGCAAGAATCCTGAAAATGTAGCAATCAGCTTTCACAAGCCAGCAAAGCCAGCTCCTGCACACCACTGGGTACAAGGGAGAAGCATCTAGAACGGAGAAGATAGGAGAACTCAAGGGGGCAGAGTCCGTGGGGACTCAGTCAGCACCCACGTGTGCAGGGATGGATGACAAATCATCCAGCACCTGTGTTAGCTCTTCATTCTCCCCAGCATCTGGGAGCTTCTTGACAATCCCTTCCTTAGGTGATCTCTGGTCTTAGCTACTTGCTCAGTCCCCCATCTGATTCACCCTGACCCTTTACAGGGTTCAAAGGAGGGATCTGGTAATGAAGGATGAGTAGAAATTCCCCAGGCCCTGGACCAGCTGGGGACCCTCCTGAAGGGAAATAGGGTCTAAATCTACCCCTGGGACATAACTGTCCCCATTCTGCAGATGAGGAAACTTAGGATTGAGGGAGTTATTATTTTCCCAAGTTCAAGGTCTGCTGAGAGGCAAAGCCAATACTGTCAAGCAGGTTTTTTGGCCTCCAAACCAGTCTCCTTTCTGCAAAGCCACCCTGCACCATCCTGGAGGCAGCTCCTGGACCAGCATGCAGAATTCCAGTTCACTGGAGTGAAAAGAAATCTTAAGAATGACCTGGTTCAGACTTCCCATTGTACATGAGGGCAAACTGAGGCCTGCGGTCATTCATACTGCAATGACACCAGCTGACCAAGGACTAGAGCTGAGGCCTCCTATCAACCAGGCAGAGTTGCTGGTAAAGGATAAATATTCTGGGTAAGAGAATTAGAGGAGCTGAATAAAACTCAGATAAAAGAGTCAAAAGGCCTGTAATCCCAGCACTTTGGGAGGCTGAGGCAGGTGAATCACTTGAGGCCATGATTTTGAGACTAGCCTGGCCAACATGGCAAAACCCCATTTCTATTAAAAATACAAAAAGTTAGCCAGGCATGGTAGCATGCGCCTGCAGTCCTAGCTGCTTGGGAGGCTGAGGCACAAGAATCGCTTGAACCCAGGAGGCAGAGATTGCAGTGAGCTGAGATCATGCCAGTGTATTCCAGCCTGGGCAACACAGTGAGACTCTGTCTCAAGAAAAAATGAAGAGTCAAAAAAGAGACTTCCCCCACCCAAAAATGTCCCAGCCAGTTGAAAAAAGATATTAGAGAAGATGATATCCTCATTTGGATTTAGAGGTGGTATCAAGGAGAGACTTCCTGCCAGGGTTGGTACCCTTGAGATTCTTTGAGAAAGTCCATGGTGCAACCAAGACTCCATAAAATATTCTTATTATAAATACTGCAGAGATGTACAAGTCAGTGGGGAAACTGAGGCACAAAGCTAGATCCTCAGAAACCCTCAGGGCCTGAGACTCAAAACAAAGAGTTGGGCATTCTCAGACTTTAATCCTTTTTGCCCCAGCAAAAAAAAAGACCTCCTTTGGGGTAGGGGGCACTCCCAAATGACAAGCTGGAACCTAGGGAGCAGGACGCTGGAGACAGTCTGCCAAAGCCATGGTTCCAGAATTTCCAGGAAGACGGATTCCTCAGGAGGCTGCAGAGACCTCGATGCGGCTGTACTGGATGCCAGTGGAGTTCTGAATGTGGCCAAAGCTCAGGGCAAACCTGTGAAACAGAATGTGTGGGATCAGGGCGTGGCAGGGCCTGGGGCCTTCCCTACGGAGTGGATCTTCCACTGGGGTTCCACTCCCCAATCTCATCTTCACTCCTACGGTGATCCTTCCTGCTTCCTACGTCAGTACAGATGTCTACCTTCTCTCTCCTGGACACCCCAGCAGCTCCTTTCTGGTCTCCCTGGATCTTCCCTGGCCTCCTATAGCCCCTTCTCATCATTACATCCACAGTGACCTTTCCTTTTTCTTCTTCTTCTTTTTTTTTTTTTTTTGAGATGGAGTCTTGCCCCATTGCCCAGGCTGTAGTACAGTGGTGCCATCTCAGCTCACTGCAACCTCCGCCTCTCAGGTTCAGGCAATTCTCCTGTCTCAGCCTCCCAAGTAGCTGGGACTACAGGTGCATACCAACGTGTCTGGCTAATTTTTTTGTATATTTTAGTAGAGATGGGATTTCACCATGTTGGCCAGGCTGGTCTCGAACTCCTTGTGATCTGCTTGTCTTGGCCTCCCATAGTTCTGGGATTACAGGCGTGAGCCACTGCACCTGGCCCATAGTGACCTTTCTAAACACAAAAATCTGTCACTCTTCACCGATATGATTTGGATCTGTGTCCCCACCAAAATCTCATGTTCAATTGTAATTCCCAGTGTTGGAGGTAGGGACTGAGGGGAGGTGACTGGATATTGGGGGCAGTTTCTCAAGAATGGTTTACCACCATCCTTTTTAGTTCTGTCCTTGAAAGAGTGAGTGAGTTCTCGTGAAATCTGGTCATTTGAAAGTGTGTAGCACCACTGCTCCCACCATGTAAGATGTGCTGGCTGACGTTCACCTTCTGCCGTGATTGTAAGTTTTGTGAGGGCTCCCCAGAAACTGAGCAGACACCAGCATCATTCTTCCTGTACAGAGTACAGAACTGTGAGCCAATTAAACTTCATTTCTTTATAAATTTCCTCATAGCAATGCGAGAATGGTCTGATACACCTGCTCAGAAGGAGACCGTCATCATGCTCAGCCTAACATCCCATCTCCTCACCATGGCTGACTTCCCTGAAACCAACCTCTCTAGTCCCTTGGCTTATCACACCCTGGCCACATGGGCCTCCTATGTCTCTCCCTTCAAAACCCCTAACTTGTTTCCACCTCAGGGCCTTTGCTCTTGCTGTTCCCTCCACCTAGAACATTTCTTTTTTCTTTTTTTGAGACAGAGTCTTGCTCTGTCACCAGGCTGGAGTGCAATGGTGCAATCTCAGCTCACTGCAACCCCCACCTCCTAGGTTCAAGTGATTCTCCTGCTTCAGCATCTGGAGTAGCTGGATTACAGGTGTGCCTCACCATGCCCAGCTAATTTTTATATTTTTTAGTAGAGATGGGGTTTCACCATGTTGACTAGGATGGTCTTGATCTCCTGACCTCGTGATCTGCCCACCTCGGCCTCCCAAGGTGCTGGGATTACAGGCGTGAGCCATCATGTCTGGCCACCTAGAACATTTCTTCCAGTTCTTGAAACTGTTTCTTCTGCTTGAACATTTCTCTCAGCTCTTGAAACCACTGGCTTTTTCTCATAATTCCAGTCTCAGCTCAGAGCAGGTTTCCATCAGTATCATTCATTCAGCCAGAGATATGATTAAAGATGACAGTGCCAGGCACCGTTCTAAGCCCTGGGACAGGGCAGTGAGTAAAACCGATACACAAAAACATCATCGTGCTTGTTGGAAATTCCTGACACACCTGTAACACAAATGCACCCATAGCTATTCACACCTTAGCTAAAGAAACTGTATCCATCTCCCACATCTGCCATTCACTCTCTGGTAAGTTAACCTGTCTTATTTCCTTCATGACACAAAAAAACTCTGAATTATCTTATTTGTGCATTTTGAGTTTTGTAGTCTATCTCTCTCCTTTACATTAAAATGTAACTTCCTTCTAAGTCCAGAGACAAAGTCTCTCTTGGTCATGCGTCTGTCCCCAGAGCCTATTACAGTGCCTGGCATATGAAAATATTTGCTGAAAGTCGAATGAACTGATTCCTGAGAAATTGGGATAAAACAGAAATTTCTGAAGGTGAATTTTTGTTATTATATCCCCCAAGGGATCAGTAAAGGTCTCTTTTGAATAGAAATAACCTGATAAGAAAGTAAAATAAACAACATTTCGGCAACCGATTGCCACTGATTGACTGTAAGGCGATTTGAGCCCTTTGTGTTAATAATGTTCCTAAAACAGGTAGAGGAGCTGGATCTGTAAGATGCAGGTAGAGGAGCTGGATCTGTAAGATGCAGGTAGAGGAGCTGGATCTGTAAGATGCAGGTAGAGGAGCTGGGTCTGTAAGATGCAGGTAGAGGAGCTGGATCTGTAAGATGCAGGTAGAGGAGCTGGATCTGTAAGATGCAGGTAGAGGAGCTGGATCTGTAAGATGCAGGTAGAGGAGCTGGATCTGTAAGATGCAGGTAGAGGAGCTGGATCTGTAAGATGCAGGTAGAGGAGCTGGGTCTGTAAGATGCAGGTAGAGGAGCTGGGTCTGTAAGATGCAGGTAGAGGAGCTGGGTCTGTAAGATGCAGGTAGAGGAGCTGGATCTGTAAGATGCAGGTAGAGGAGCTGGGTCTGTAAGATGCAGGTCTCCTTTTCCAACAAGCACATCTGAGGCAGAGGGATGCAGAACTCAGCCCACAGTAGTGGCTGTCTGCTCTACCCACATGTGCCTCCAATTTTGGGGGAACTAGTCTACTCTGTGGCATGTGGCTTGACTGGACTGTCAGTCAAGGAGCTCTGCCCTATCCTGGCTAAGTTAGGGGTTAGGAGGTGGGCACATAAATTGGGCTTGGCCAATTAGACTTTCTCCTGAGACCATGACTCTTCTATGGAGGACACAGGAGTGAAAACAGTTGATTCCAAATGTTCCTGCTGTCAAAATCCCTGGACATGCCCTGGTCCCTGTGTTCCCAAAGTCAAGTTTCTCTCTCTCTCTGTGGCCTCTGATATCAAGAGCCCCCTGAACTCCAGGGACAGAGATGATAAAACACAGACCTACCTCCAGACTCCACCAAAACCCCTAACTTCCTGTCTTCTCCAGAGTCATAGCAGACCCAGCCTCCAGTCCCCAAGGGCTGGCCCCGGCTCCCTCATGTGACCCCAGACCCAGCCTGACACCCCCACCTGCAATCACATCCTCCCTTACCCCAAAGCTGGCTCCCACCTGACTTTCTGCCACCTTTGCTTTTTGTACCAGATGATGGATTTGGAATCTTCTCCCAAGAAAACCAGTATGGCAGAGATTTCAAACAGCTGTCAAGTAACAAAGCCCTTGATTTTTAGCTGGGTACATGGCTGCCCAGATTGAAGACCACATTTCTTAGCCTCTCCTGCACAAAAGTGTAGCCAAGTCCTATACAAAAGCATATGGGTAGAAGTGACCTTGAGGACTGTGCCCACCCCTTCTCCTCCCCCATTCTCTGGCAGGTATTTGGGGGTATACCTCTTTGCACCATGCAGGAAAGGTGATATGGAAGATTGGCAGAGCAATAAGATGGAAGGAGCCTGGGACCCTGCATGACCTTATGGCGCACAGCTGCCACCCAACCCTGGACACCCAACAGACATTTGGACAACTTCAAGCAGCCAGATCGATTTCCTAACTAATGCAGCTGGGATGCTGAGGGGCCTGCCGAAACTGCAGAAGGTGTCACTCAACAAAGTAGGAGAGAGCATTCTGGGGTAGGGAGGACCAGGTTACAGGTTCTTACATCAGGAGCCAGATTGCGATGGGGCTTAGCAGCTGGTTCAGGGTTAGCTAGTCAATGTTAGAATGATTTTTTAAACACTTTTTATGACTTCCTGAAGTCAGAATGGGCAGTCAGCTGGTGACTAAGACCTACTTACAAGAGGTAACCGGGGACATTTGCCAAGGATGCTTAGGATTATAACACGTTGAAGTCCCTTCTGAAGATCCCATTCCGCTCTTCTTTTATTTGAACAGCCTAAGGTCTCAGGATGCTAAGATTCTGAACTTCCCTCAATGACCTGAAGACCTGCTGTGACCTAGCGCCTTCCCGTCTGGCCCATCTGACCCTCCACACTCTTCCCTCCCTCCTTTCCTCTGTTCCAGGCACACTGGCTTCCCTGTTGTTCCTTGCACATGCCGGATACACACCCACCTCAAGGCCTTTGTACTCACTAATCCTGTCTTCGTTGTTACATGGTGGGCTCCCTCTTACTAACTTAAATTCCACTCCTCTGAGAGGACTTCCCTCCCTGACCACCCTCTCCAATTCAGCCACAGCCCCTTTCTTCTTTGCTCCCCTGTGTCCACCTGGCCCTCTCAACATATTTTGCTCTTTCATTTTTTCCTAATTACCTGTCACCAACAAAAATGCTCTTATTTATGCATTTGTTGGCTTCTCTGCCCCATCAAATGGAAGCTCCTTGATGACAAGAACTTTGTCTTCCTTAATCTCAGCATGTTTCCTAAGGCTCTAAACACAGTCTGGCACATCGTAAGGACTTAATAAACAGCCACAGAATGAATGGGTGAACTACAAGTGTTTTGCATGCAGTGTTTGAAGGCCATGTTATAATGTTTTGCTTCTCCAAGGTCTCATGACTAAGATAGTTTATGGTTTTAAGATTCTACTCTTCTAGCCCCTTGTGACGCCTTAATCAATTGATTTTTAAATCCCTGTGAACTGGGTCTTAAAGTCAAATGAAAAGGCACTGTAGGGAAACACAAGACAACCCAAGGAAAACAACTTGTGCCTGGCTGGATGGAACTCACAGTGCCCAGGCAACAGGGAAGGCAGGAGGGATGCTTGCTTGCAAAGAGAAAGTACAAAGACCAGAATCCTGGAGCTGTGCGCTTGGGGTGTGACACGGTTCTTCCCTGAGACCCCCCGCTGTCAGCTTCCTACCGTCTCTTTTGGAACTGCTGGTCTATCTCTGCCAACGACTGGCCTTTTGTTTCAGGAACAAATACATAGATGAAGCCCAGGCCGAGGACAGCGGTCAGTCCATAGAGCAGAAAGGTCCAGGACAAGCCGATGGTGCCTGGAAACAGAAGGGCGGGAGTGTTGGCCCTGGACCGAGCACTCTGGCCCCACAGCCTAGGCCAACTGGTGGACTCTAGGTCAGGCATGGAAAGTCAGTTCACTCAAAGCACATGTTCCTGATGGTCAATTTGCAGAATGACCAATAAGCTGTCAGGGAAGTACCTTAAAGCGGAAATCTCACTTATTGTCCCACAGGCGGGGAGGAGCCAGGATGAAAGTTCACAAGCACAGAGACGATGGCAACTTGTGTTTACGGAAATGACCCCTCACCCACATCAAGGGCACTATTCCGTGGAGCACGCCTGGGCTCCAAAAGCCTGACCTGGGGGAATGTGGATCCAGCTGAGTGGCCAAACAGCTGCATGGACACGACCTTGGCAAAGCTCAGTTAAAACAAACAAACAAAATCCTTAGAAATTCCATGAATTGGGCATGGAGCAATGGCTCACACCTGTAACCCCAGCACTTTGGGAGGTTGCGGTGGGAGGATCACTTGAGCTCAGGAGTCAAGACCAGCCTGGGCAACATGGCAAAATCCTGTCTCTACGAAAAATAAAAAATAAAAAAATTAGCTGGGTGGGGAGGCACACATCTGTAGCCCCAGCTACTTGGGAGGCTGAGGTGGGAGAATCATTTGAGCCCCGAAGGTCAAGGCTATAGTGAGCCGAGATCATGCCACTGCACTCGAGGTGACAGAGACCCTGGAAAAAGAAAAAAAGAACACCAGAGATTCCGTGAATTGATCACTCAGAAAAGTGAGTTTCAGCCAGTTTGGCTTGTGACTGGTTTGGGACAGAGAACAAAAGCTGCAGTTCAGTCCTGGAGTCGGCAGGTGGTTGGCAGGAGTTTGGGGCAGCAGGTGGCTCAACATCTTAGCCCTTGCCTCCTCCTGGAGCCGCCAGTGGGTCTCAGAGCCAGCAGCCAGGATGGGAATAATCCTGAGTCCTCTGATGTCATCCAGTCCAAGTCAGAGCGAGGCTGTGTGGAAGGGTCTTTGTCAAGGTGGAAGATAAATTATGTTTTGGAAGCCATTCTCACCTCTGACAGCCATGTCCATACCTTCTTTAGGCAGCCTCCCATGACCAGCTGACCCTATCGCCAGCAGGGAGAGCAACAGGGTAGAAGTCAGGGAGGCTAGTTCTAGTCTTTTGATTCCCTGGCTGGATGGGGAAGGATGTATTTTCCCATCTGTGAAATGGGGATGATACATGACACAATTCTAATAAATTCCTTCCTTCCTTCCTATCTCCTTCCCTCCCTTCCTTCCTCCCTTCCTTGCTTCTCTCCTTTCTTCTCCTGTCTCACTCATTTACTCCACAAAAAGGAAAACGCTTGAAGACTGAGGGTGCAGGGAGAAGCTTGGATTCCCTAAGACTGGGGGTGGGGAGACAGTTATGATGTGGGGGAGGGGTTCTTCCACTGGTATTTCCCACAGCACTGTCCCCTGCCTCCCAAGTTGGCTGCACCTTTGAGAAGGAAACTAATGCCATAGGGAAGAGAAAAATAACTGAACCCTAAAAACTGTGCCTTGGGGTCCACAGTGAAGGAGCCTGTGTACTCTGGCCCAGATGAGCAATACCCACCGAAGACCAGGGCCTGGAGCCATGAGCATCTCAGCATCTCAGAGTCATCCCCTGGTGTTCTTGGGCCCACATAATTTCCACCCCATCCCTCAGACTGGGTTTCAATGCTAGGGAGGAAGAGATGATGTCACACAAACTTGATCTGAGAAAAACTTCCAGGCCAGACATGGCGGCTCATGCCTGTAATCCCAGCACTTTGGGAGGCCGAGGCAGGTGGATCATTTGAGGTCAGGAGTTGAAGACCAGCCTGGCCAACCTGGTGAAACCCTGTCTTTATGAAAAAGACAAAAATTAGCCAGGCATGGTGGTGCACCTGTAGTCCTGGCTATTCGAGAGACTGAGGCAGGAGAATCATTTGAACCCAGGAGACGGAGGCTGCAGTAAGCTGAGATTGTGCCACTGTACACAAGTGCAGTAAGCTGAGATTGTGCCTGGGTGACAGAGCAAGACTCTATCTCAAAAAAATTAAAAATTAAAAAGAGAAAAGCTTCCAGCTGGCAGGTGGCATGAACCAGTTTAAGCCATTGGGAGCAAATAAACACTGCTGCTCTTAAACCTGCCAATGACCTCAGACAACCTCTCGCCAGTATTGAGTGTATAGACTATCACCCATTAGCTGGCCTGAGGAGTTTAACAGTGCGTTTGAGGGTCCTGGATGTCATCTTGGACACTTGGTGATGTTTCTGCACAGAATAATAGTTCTGCAGCTAACACATAGGGAAGTCCAAAAATGTCTGCATTCAAGTAGGGAGCTTGGGCTACAGAAAAAAATGGACTTGTCTGGGAAGCACTCACCAATGAGATCGAGGAAGGAGAGGCTGATCAAGAGGTTGGCCGCCCAGTTGAAGCTGTTACAGAAGGCAAAGGCTCTTCCTCGTATCTCCACAGGGTAGATCTCGCTGAGGACAAGCCAGGTCACTGGGGTGGGAGAGCAGGAGGGCTCCTGGGCTTTGGTGGGACCTGGAGCCTGGCACCATCAGGTCAAATACACAGCTTTGCAACAATGGGATTTTGCAGTGTCGGGCTCCTGACCAAACTCCTCCCATACCACTGTAAGAATCCCGGTAGGGTCTCGGTTTGCTGAAGACCGAGAGGTTTTCTGGTACACGAGCCTTTCAATGCTGAGATGGGAACCCTTTTGGATGAACTGGGATGATTGGTTCTCACCCTATTCATTAATTTCCTTCCAGTTGTGAGCTATCCAGGGAAAGATCCAGGCTTTAAGAGACCTGAAGCTTAAATGACTTGGGGAGCCTCTTAAGGAATACAAATTGCAAGCATAAAATTAGGCACTGGCCCTGGGAGGAGCAATTGCAAGTAAGTGAAGGCCCTGAGGCTTCATAGTCAACCCACCTCTCATGCTCCTCCAACACCCTGCCGGATAGTCAGGGTGGGAAGTCCCCAACTGCCTGCTAAGAGGGGTAGAAGTCTCCAGAGTCACCTGCAAGAAAACTCCACTTACCTGGCCCAAACCCAAAGGAGAAGGCGCTGACAAAGACCATCAGGCAGAGCAGTGCGGTCCAGCGAAGCAGCGCATGCCCCGGGGCGGGCAGAGGGGGCCCAGGGAGGGCAGAGCTCAGGGCCAGCTGAGGAGGGGCTGCTCCAGATCTGGGACGGGGCCTGGTTTTCTCAGCAGCGAACAAGATTGGCTCCCTTTGGTCCTCACTGGTCCTTGGCATGGGAGGTAGAGAGGAGCCTTGCAGCAGATGAGAGTCTCCAGGGAGGCTTGTCTGCCTGGTGGCATTGGGCACAGCCAAGCAGCTTGGGCCTGAGTCCATGGGCACGGCAAAGCTGACAAGGCCTATACCACTGACCGACAGGGCCATGAGGGCACAGCCAGCTAGCAACAGAGCCCTGCGGCCTGCACGGTCCACCAGCCCCATGGCAATCAGGGTAGCTGCCACCTTCACTGCACCAAGCCCCACGGAGGCCAGCACGGCTGAAGATCCCCCATGGAAGCCAACGGACAGGAAGATGGTGGAGGCATAGGACAGCACGTTGGGCTGCCCTGTTAGTTGCTGGAAGAGCACCAGTCCCAGGCCCACTATGGTCCGGCCTCGCATGTTATCCCGTGTCCTGAAGAGGTCCAAAAAGGAGTACCGTGGCCTTCCCAGGCCCAGCTTGGGGGCCTCACCTCCCTGGAGTGGGATGAGGTCCTTGTGTGCTGCAGTCTCATCTGCATCAGCCGGGAGGAAAAGGAGGCTGAGGGACTGCAGGACAGCAGGTGCAGTGGCCCAGCCGAACATGTGCCTCCATCCCCAGGGGGCACCAGCCAGTGCATAGTTGAGAGCATAGGAGAGCAGGATGCCCACAGTGATGCCTGCCTCATAGAGGGACACCAGTACTCCCCGCTGCCGTGGCCCCACCAGCTCTGACACGTAGATACAGCAGGCCATGGAGGAGAGTGAGATGGCGAAGCCAACCACAGAGCGGCCCAGGACCAGCCAGGCCAGGGAATCAGCCAGGCCCAGGCTCAGGCTGCCTGCCAGCAGCACCAAGTTACTCCCAAGGATGGCTTGTTTCCTGCCATAGCAGTCAATGAGGAAGCCCCCGACCAGGGAGGCAACGAGAGCCCCCAGGAGCAGGCCGCCAACCAGGAGCTCCTGCTCCAAGCAGCTTAGCCCAAAGTCAAGCTGCAGAGGCAGCAGGGCACCTGATATGACTGCCAGTTCATAACCAAAGGTCAGGCCACCCAATAAAGACACAGAGGCACACAAGGTCAGGACAGGTGGGGGACGGCCTGAAAAACAAAAGTGACAGGGACAGAGTTAGAATGGTTCCTTGCCATACCATCAATCTATTCAACCTGCCCTCCATCTGTCAATACCTCCATCTATCCATCCATCTACTCAACTATCCATTCAGCCATCTATCTCTCTATCCATCCATCCATCCACTCTATCCACTCCATCTATTCAACCATCCATCCACTCTATCAATTCAACCATCTGTCCATTCATCCTCCATCTATCTACTCCATCTGTTCAACCACCCATTCAACTGTCCATTGATCCATCCATCCATCCATCCATCCAACCATCCATCCATCCATCCACTCCATCTATTCAACCACCCAACCACATCTATGCATCCTTCACCCATTCATCTACTCAGCCAAATATTTATCCATCTCTATGTCCATTTATCTGTCCCTTAATTCACCCAACCATCCATCAATGTATTGATCTGTCTATCTACAAATCCATCCATTCATCCACCCATCTCTGTATTTCATCCATTTCACTCATTCACACATCCATCCATCCATCCATCCAGATTAATCTATCTGGCATCTACAACATGCCAGGAAGTGTTCTTAGGGCTGTAATACAGTAGTGTCATCCAGGATCTAACATCCTAGAAGAAATAGGAAGATGATAAATAAGTATATAGTTTCAGGTGATGAAGATATCATGAAAAATGAAGCAGGGAAAGAGAATTAAGATTGATGGAGTAGCACCATTTTAAGTCCTCTCTAAAGAGCAAAAATTTGGGCAGAGATCTGAGTGACGTGAGAACAAAAATCCTAGGAAAATCTGAGTTTCTTCTTTTAAAACGTGAACTTGGCCAGGTGTGGTGGCATGCACCTGTAATCCCAGCACTTTGGGAGGCCAAGGTGGGTGGATCACCTGTGGTCAGGAGTTCGAGACCAGCCTGGCCAACATGGCAAAACCCATCTCTACTAAAAATTAGCTGGGCATGGTGGCAGGCGCTTGTAATCCCAGCTAGCAAAGAGGCTGAGGTGGGAGAATCGATTGAACCCAGGAGGTGGAGGTTGTAGTGAGCTGAGATCACACCACTGCATTCTAGCCTGGGCAACAGAGCGAGACTCCATCTCAAAAATAAATAAATAAATAAATAAATAAAACAAGAGGAGAGCTTATTCAAATTTATTGCAATCACTGATACAATTGAAATTGCTTCTGCCATTTACTTTCATATCTTCTATTTACTGTGCTATCACGATATTTCTTTTTACCTCCATTTCTGCTTCTGGTGGGTCAATTATGGGTGGGTTTTTGTTTCATTCTTTTCCCCACTGATTTGAGTGTTACACTTTCTATGTTTTCCTTTTCTCTTAGAGCAGCACCAACAGCATTTTCTGCAATGAGAGAAATGTCTCTACCTATACCATCCAATATGATAGTCGCTAACCACATGCGGATAATGAGCCCTTGAAATGTGGCTAATGGGATGCAGGAACTAATTTTATTTTCTATTCTTTTTTTTGAGACAGTCTTACTCAAAAGAGCACAGTGTTGTGATCTTGGCTCACTGCAAACTCTGCCTCCTGGGTTCAAGGATTCTCCTGCCTCAGCCTCCTGAGTAGCTGGGACTACAGGCATGTATCACTATACCCAGCATATTTTTATATTTTTTAATGGAGACAGGATTTCACCATGTTGGCCAGGCTGGTCTCAAACTCTTGACCTCAGGTGATCCGCCTGCCTCATCCTCCCAAAGTGCTGAGATTACTTACAGGTATGAGTCACCATGCCTAGCCTAAATTTTTTATTTTATTTTAATTAAGTACATATAAAAATAGCCACATACGGATGGTGGCTATCCTATTGACAGCTCACTCTTAATTTTTAACTCATACACTTAAATGTATATATTTCTGGAAGCATCTAGAATAATCCAGCAGTTTCTATGTCATGCACCCCCACCCTGGACCTGACAAGAACATCTGCAATATTATAGCCAGATATACGGAGAGTTTCTCTGGACCAGACACTGCTTTGAGCACTTTAAGAGCACGTTTAGGGCTGGGCACAGTGGCTCCTGCCTATAATCCCAACACTCTGGGAGGCTGAGGTAGCCTCCCAAATAAATAAAATTGTTCCATATTCCCCCCAACTGATTTGCATGTTACACTTCCTATGTTTTCCCTTTCTCTTAGAGCAGCACTATCTAGCAGCATTTTCTACAGTGATAGAAATGTCTGTACCTATGCCATCCAGTACAATAGTCACTAACCATGTGCGGATAATGAGCCCTTGAAACGTGGCTGATGGGAAGCAGGAACTAATTTTTTTTTTGAGACAGCCTTACTCTGTTTCCCAGGCTGGAGCATAGGAGTCCAGGTGAGGCCAGGAGTCCAAGACCAGCCTGGCCAACGTGGACAGACCCTGTCTCAACTGAAAATACAAAAATTAGCTGGGTGTGGTGGCACTCGCCTACAATCCCAGCTACTGGGGAGGCTGAGTCAGGAGAATCATTTGAATCTGGAAGGTGGAGATTGCAGTGAGCCAAGATCATGTCACTATACCCAGCCTCAGCAACAGAGTGAGACTCTGTCTAAAATAAGCAAACAATCAAACAAGCAAACAAAAACCACATTTAGTTCTCACCCCAACATTATGAGGTAGGCTCTGATATTATTTATGAATGAATAGAGTGATCATTGGGGGAGTGAAGTGACTCACCTAAGGTCAAAAGTAGTGAGTGCAGCTGGGCAACACAGCAAGATCCTGTCTCTACAAAACATTTTAAAATTGCCCAGGCATAGTGGTGGGAGCTGTAGTCCCAGTTACTCAAGAGGTTGAGGTGTGAGGATCACTTGAGCCCAGAAGCTTGAGGTTACAGTGAGCTACGATCGTGACACTGCACTCCAGCCTGGTGACAGACGGAGACCCTGACCCTAAAAAAAAAAAAGTTTCCCTGTGGGGGTGGGTAAAAAAAAAAGTCGTAAGCAGCTGAGGCTAGAATGAAAGCCAGGCAGTCTGGCTCCAAAGTCAAAACTCTTGACCGCCCCATTATATAACTGGTGCAATGTGATTTCACTCTGTTCTCTTGCTTCAGTCCCTTCCTAGCTCTGTCATGCAATTTTTGTGCAGAGGGAGGAGTTCCATGGGTGAAGGAATCATTCCCCCCCACTCTCACCCCGCCGTTCTGCTCATCTCTCTCCCCTGACACTCCTACCCTCCAAGGAAACAAGCTCTTGTCACTGCCTGGCTGGCCTGTCCTTCCTGTTCCTCACCACTGGTAAACATCCTGGAAGATGCTACTCAGATCCTGCTCTGTCTTCGCCCCCCTTTGCCTCAGCCTCCTGAGTAGCTGGGACTACAGGCATGTATCACTATACCCATTCCTCCCTCATTCCTGGGGTTTTCTTCCAGAAAGGAGAGTCCTTCCAGGCCATGTGAAGCAATCGAGGTGAAAGCCCAGGATTTGTTTGCCATTTCCTGGGCTCCTCCTGCAGTGAAAGGGAACCCAGCCAAAGGACTCACAGGTTCCTCCCACAGGTTCCACTGGAAAACACATCAGTGCAGGTTCAGGTTGCAATGGACAATAAAACTACATTACTACAAACATGAAGTAAAATAGTAATAATAACAGGTATCATGTATGGAGACCTCCTCTGTGCAAAGGCTTTACTTTCCTTCCCTCAGTTCATCCTCATAACAATCCTAGGTGAGACTGCTGCAATCATTCCATCTTACAGATGCGGAAGCGAAGGCTCAGAGTGTTTTCACAGCTAGGAAGCAACAGGATCAGGGCAGAAACACTGACCTGCCTGCCTCCCAAACGCATGCCCTTAAGAGCTCTGCTGCAATGACTTTCCAGCAAGAGCCAATCAGAGATAGGTGGGATAGGAGACAGCTGGGGTACAGGCGCAGAGGTGGAGGGGAAAGAGGGAAAACCCCAAGGGATAAAGCGTGGTGAAATGATACTGTGGCATGGGACTGTAGATGGAAAGGAGCACCCCAAAGCAGTCGGGGCTGTCAGGGAGATGAGGAAGAACATTCCCCTTCCATGGTTCCCATCACCTGAGTCAGTCCCACCACCTTAGCACGACAGCCGAGGCTCCTGATGGGCTGACCTAACTCCTCGGCCACTTCGCCTCATCCCGGACCCTGTGGCCCCAGCCTCCCCCACACACTCTGCCACACATGTGCTCACGGCACAGACTGCACGCTTTCATGCTGCTCCACCTCCGCACGTGCTGGACCTCCTACATGCATTGCCCTTGTTCCCCAGGGAAAGCTGCCTTTGTTCCTCTACTCTCCCTTTTCAGTCCCAGGTCCTGCGCCACCTCCCCAAGGAACCTCCAGGTATACACATCTGTTACTTGGCATCCACTCCTTGTCTTCCATTGTGGGAGTTGCCCTCTCCCTTGTCTCACAGTCTCTGGGTTTGGGTGAAGATGACTGCCCCAACCTCCACCCTCATGCCCAGCCCCACAGTGGTGTCCACGATCCACATCCAACCAATCAGCAGATTCTTGGGCCCCAGGCTGAGGCGAATACCACGTGGCCAAACCTGGGCCAGTGGGACTCAACCCTGGCCTGTTTGCTCACTGGGGGTGCCAAGCTGGTGGTTTACCTGGTTGGAGCCACTGGGGGCCATCTTCCCGGATGAAGGATTCCTGACAACACTGTCTGAGCCTCTAGATCCAACTGCGCCTGAAGCCATAGACTTCAGTGAACAATAAATACTCATTACCAATTTCTTTATTTTTCCAAAGGTTTGCCTGAGATTTTTTTCTTAATCTCAGTCCCCAAGTACCTTTTATGTCAACAGACAGCGACATTTGCTTAGTGCCTTTCAGTGGAAAAGTCCGAGGGAGTTCCAGATGAAATCCCATGCATCTTCCTCAACTGTCTACTGCACTCCCTTCACTTGCCCACATTGCAAGTTCCTTTATGAGTCTTCCATATTCAACTAAGGAGGGCAGGGATAGAGACTGACAGCCCTGCTTCGACACCCAAGAGGGACTCAGTGAAGTTTCTGCTGAATTAACAAATGACTGGGTAGGAGACCAGGGCTGTTTCACCGCGTGGCATTTCTGGGGCTGTGTCAGATACCTCTGAACCTAATTTTTTTTTTTTTTTTTTTTTGAGACAGAGTCTCGCTTTGTCACCCAGCCTGGAGTGCAGTGATGCAGTCTCGGCTCACTGCAACCTCCACTTCCAGGGTTCAGCTGGGAAGAGATTCTCCTGTCTCAGCTTCCAGGCACAAGCCACCACGCCCAGCTAATTTTTGTATTTTTAGTAGAGTTGGGGTTTCACCATGTTGGCCAGGAGGGTCTCAATCTCTTGACCTCGTGATCCGCCCACCTCAGCCTCCCCAAATGCTGGGATTACAGGCATGAGCCGCCACATCTGGCCGACTAATTCTACACAGCAGCCAGAGGGATCCTGGGTCAACCTAAGTCAGGCCTCATCACTCTTCTGCTCAGAGTCCTCCAAGTTTCCTATTTCATTCTGAGAAAAGCCAACATCCCCACTGTGACCTTCAAGGCTCTGCAGGATCCATCTGCTCTCACTGGGCTCCAGCCACACTGGTTCCTTGCTGCTACTGTCACACAAGCATGTCCCAACTCAAAGCTTGGTACCACCAACCTCTCTGCCTGAGAAGTCCTTTCCCTCCATGTCAATGGCTCCTTCCCTCCTCCCTTCTGATCTTTGCTGAAACATTCCCTTCTCAGTGAGGCTGTCCCTGGCCTTCTACCTAAAATTCAACCTTCCCGTAGCATCTAGCACTTTATATCCCCTTCTCTACTTGTTTTTTCTGCTAAGTCATCCCAATAGCTGTTGTGTGGCACTTTTCATCATCCAAAATAACTACATATTTTACATATTTATTGGTCTCCCTGACCTGAAAGTCAGCCTCAAAGGAACAGGAATGGTTTATTCTCAGCGGTCTCCCTCATGCCAAGGAAAGTTACTCAGCACTTGTTCAATCAATATTTGTTGACCAAATGAATGATTGAATGAATGAATAAACAAACAAATGAACTGTGGGGACGTAGGGAATCTGGAGAGAAAGGATCTTGACTCTTGAACATCTGGAAAAGTCCAGGGCCTGGAAGTGGCCATGGACAGGAAGCACAGTAAAGCCTGGTCCTCAGATTAAGATGGCTTAGGCCAGGCATGGTGGCTCATGCCTGTAATCCCAATACTTTGGAAGGCCAAGGCGAGTGGATCGCTTGAGCTCATGAGTTCAAGACCAGCCTAGGCAACATGGTGAAACCCTATCTCTACCAAAAATACAAAAATTAGCCAGGTGTAGTGGCGCACACACGTAATTCCAGCTACTAGGGAGGCTGAGGTGGAAGGATGGCTTTAGCCTGGGAAGCAGAGGTCGAAATGAGCCAAGACTGCACCACTGCACTCTAGCTTAGATGAGAGAGCCAGACTTTGTCCCCCACCCCAACCCAGCCCCCCCAAAAAAAAGAAAAAGAAAAAAATTAAGGAGAACAAATTAAGATGGCTTGACTTAAGTTGAGCAAGTGAGTTTCCTTTCTACTAATCATCTGTCTAAACACAGGTTGTATGTGAAGGTGTCCCTCACTAGAGGAAATCCCTTAATCCTCTAAGCTCCTCACTGTGGAGAGTAGAGATTCCCAGGCAGAGTCAGGGGGCAGGCGGAGGGGAGGGAACCCAGGTTTGGGATGCAAGTGTCTCCAGCTGCAAGTCAGGCTCCTGTTGGTGACACTAGAGCAGCGTCTCAACCCGAAGTCACAGCGCACTGGGTCCCTCCTGCACCAGAGACCTGCTGTGGCTTTCCCTGAAGCTCCAGGGAGAAGCCAGGAGTGAAACTGAACTGTCTGAATATCCTCTTGCAGAAGGCCAGCTTCCAGTGTCCCAGCCATTGCAGCCACAGCTGATACTTGGAGCACCCACTGGAGCCGGCCACTCTCCTAAGGGGCTGTGTCTGTGCCAGCTAGCTTAATCCCTACACAATCCTATGGCAATCACTATCGGCATTCCCATTTTACAGAAATAACAACCACACTGAGAGGTGTAGACATTTGCCCAAGGTAACATAGCTTGTAAATAACATAACACAGCAGGAACTTGAACTCAGGTAGTCTGACTCCAGAATGCCAATATTAGGTGCAATATAAAATAAAAACTCACCTTCACTCACCATTTACCAACTATAGGTAATGGGCCAAGCACTGTAAGTTCGCTTTTTCATGCCATTCTCATGGCTGCCCTGTGATAAGGGCATTTGATAGTGACCAGAGAATTTGGCAGGGTCTCCCAGGTCAAAGTGGGACTGTAGGACAAAGTGGGAGGAATTGGGGCTGGAACCCAGTTCTGCCCCAAAAGGCTACATAGAGAGCCCAATCCCTCGTCCCTGCCGTGAAGTGAGCAGTGTAAGAATTCTGGGGAGGACAGAGACCAGCAGCTGTGACTTGTGCCTTCCCCAGCACTAGCACCCAGCCCTCGCTCTGCCCATAGAACACACTCAGCAAACAGCTGTGGAGTTGACTTAGCAGGAATGGGAAGTGCAGAAGCAAGGGGCCAGGGCCGAGCTGAGTGTCCTTAAGAAGACCTTGGCCTCTCTGGGCCTCGGTTTTTTCTCAGGCTCTGGGGCACTGTGCCATGGGGCTTAAAAGGATGGACTCTTAAGTCAGAACTGGGTGTGTTAAGTTTTACCATTAATCCACCATGAGAGGCTGGGTGGTGCAGTGGTTAGGACTGCAGACTGGAGCCAGAATGCTGGGGTTCTTCCCAGCTTCTCCTCCCCAGAGCTGTGTGACCTTGGGGAATTCACTTCACCTCTCTGGGCTTTCCCATCTATACATGAGATAATAACACCTACCTCCTCTGCCTCCCTACTTCATGGCCAGTGTTAGCTACTCTGATTCTCCATAGAACGACTCACAGCCAGCTTTGAAAAGAGAATTCAGGTCACACCCCCAGCTCCAGTTTAAAACCCTTCTCCAGCTTCCAATGGCATTTGCAATAAAATCCGAACTTCTCACCACGGCCTACAAACCCTGTACACCTCTCTGACATCCCTTTGACCTCGGTGCCCTGCCCGCTGGCTGTGCTCTGGCCACCGTGGCCTGGGCCACACACAAGCTCATTTCTGCCCCAGGACCTTTGCACTGTTGCTGCCACCTGGAAGCTGTTTCCCCGGATCTCAGCAAGGCCCGCTGCTGAGAAAGGTCTCAGTTCCAAATCTCCTATTCCAGAAAACCCACCCTGACCACCCACCTACGGAACCCACGCCCTCAGCATCACACCACCCCATTATATGTGTTCCACAGCACCTTATCTCTCTCTGAAATTATTCATAAACATGTTTACCCAGCTACTTAACCAGAATGCCAGCTCCATGAGAGAGAGGATGATTGTCTATTTTATTCACGGCTGGATCTCCAACCCCTGCATCAATGTCTGGCACATAGTAGGTGCTCACTGAAGAATCAACGACTGACGCTTTGAGACTTCCGAATGCAGAGAGAAAAACAGAGCCCTAGTCCCGAGTCGCAACAAAGGCATTCTCTACTCGTCCCACCCCAATGCTGTAGAATCTCCTTCTCTGTCCCCTCTCTGCAGAAGCACGTCCAGCGCAGGGGGTGCGTCTGTTTTTTGTTCTCCGTTTCGTTCGCGGCAGCGTCCCCTGGCCCAACACAGTGCCTAGGGCACAACCTCGCTCAGTGAATCGACGAACGGCTTTGCTCCTTTCGGAGCCTCCATTTCTTCATCGGCAGACCAGGAACCACTGCACTTGCCCCGGGCTGTGGAATGAGGCGCCCGGGAGAGCTCCGGGGCCCTAGTGGGCGCCACAGCAAGTGAGGGGCCACTTTTTCCGGGGCAGAAAGGACGCTGGAAGGAAGCACGACCGAGCCCCGTCCCAGCCCCCGCCGCAGGCCTGCAGCCCCAGCCGACCCCGAGAGGCGGAATCCGGCCGGGGCGGCGCAGGCGGAGCCAGGGGGCGCGCAGTCTTGGGGGCGCGGGGGCGGTGTCTACACCCCAGGAAGCTGTCGGGCTCCTGCCCGCGGCGCCCGATTGGGACTTACCCATGGCGAGCGGGACTCCGCGGCGTGCTGGGGGCGCTGGAGGGCCGGGCGCGCATCCCCCGGGCCGGAGTCCCCAACGCCGCCGCCGCCGCCGCCGCGGGACAAACTTTCCGGCCCGCCCCCTCCTGCTCTGCCCGCCCGCTCGCAGCGCCGCCAACGCCACGTCGGCCAGCCGGGTCCCGGGGCCTGGAGGCGGGACGAAGGGGAACCCGGGACCGCCCCCGACTACCCCGGCCGCCCCGGCCTCGCAGGGACCCCCTCCCTCTCCCGCTCTCCTCCCAGGGGCCCCCGTGGGCTGTCTTCTGGGTCCCCCACTGATAATCCTCCCCTGGGGGGTTACTCCAGCCCGCTGTCCTCCCCAGGTCCCGTGAGACGCTCACGCACACGCACTTGAGCCGCTGACTCTCCCGTGGATTCATCCCTCATTCACTCCACGCTTGGATTTGAACACCTACCACGTGCAGACGCTACGCTAGGCTTGGGATGGGCCAAAGAACAAAACAGACAAGCCTTTCGTTTACATTCTAGGAGGGGAAGCGTTTACATTCTAGGAGGGGAAGACGAAAAAGAAGTAACTAAAGGATCCTGAGAAATACCAGCTAGTGATAAAGACTAGGCAGAGTTAAACTAGGGTGGTGGGTTAGGCAGGCACAGGTGGCTGCTTTAGCTCGCTGATCTGAGGAGAGGATGTCTGAGCAAAGACCAGGTATTCCCTACAGAAGGAACAGCAAAGGCAAAGGCTCTGGGGTGGGATGGTATAAAGAACCCAGAAATTAAGCCAGTGTCTGGAGCAGAGGAGGAGGCAGGGAGAGTGGAGGGAGACGGGGGCTGAGGGAGACGGGGGCTGAGGGAGACGGGGGCTAAGGGAGGGGCTTTGGTGGGCCAGGGTTAGGAATGTAGATTTCATCCCCATCAGCAGAAGAGATAACTGGGGAGTTCTAACTGGTTAAGGGCAGGAAGAGGGAGACCACTTGAGAGGCAAGGTGAGAAGTTGGTTTGAGCTCATGTCACAGCGGTGAGGTTGGAGAAAAGTAGGCTGATCACATATAGACTCCGTCAGAACTTACAGACTGGAAGAGGGGCAGCTTGGGGCTGGAAAAGGAGATCCAGAGTTCTGTCTTGGCTGTGTGACATTTGAGGTGCTCATCAGGCAGCCATGTGGAAATAGGTGGGTAGTTGGCTATGAGCCTGGGGTTCTGGAAAGGGGTAGCCTGGGGACACCACCACTAATGCTCACTCAGGCAAAAATACATGTACAAGCCCAGCACTCACATGGGTGCAGCGTTATCCAGCCTCTAATACGTGTTCACAGAATGGCACCTTCGCACACGTGCACCAGTAGTTGTACCCTCACCAGATAAAGTCACAGCGGCCCCTACCGTACAGGTGGATACACAGGCATTCTTCCAAGCTACAGACACAAGCAGGTATCTCAGCTAAGATGACAGCATCTGCAAGACCTCTGAGCCAAGGGATCCTTGTACAGTTCCGGAAATAATAATAGCTGGGGCAGTTTGAAAACATGGCTCCAGAATTCGTTGTTCCTTCCCTTGAAATCAAAGTGGGCTTGTGACTGGTTTGATCAGTAGCCTGCAGAGCAACACTGTGTTACTTCCGAGGCTAGATCATTGGAACACTGGCACCTGAAGCCCTGAGCCTTCATGTAAGAAGTCCAATTACCCAGAGACCCTACTGGTATTCCTGGCCTAGTGGCATCCCCTTCCCTTCTAGATGTCACAAGAAGTATCACTTAGCAATTTACTTCTAAGGAATAGAATACGGCAAATGTGGTGGATGTCATTTTCGGATTAGGTTATAAATGATGGTGATTTCTGTGTTGTTAGGTCTCAAGATCCCTCATTCATTTGCTCTGCTGAAGGCTTTGATCTGCCAAGTTTTGAGCTTCCCAATGGAGAGGCCCACATGGCACGAAGCTATTGAATCACGTAGCTAATGCCTCCAGGCAATAGCCGGTGAGGGACTAAAGCTCTTAGATCAACAGCTCCTAGGGAGCTAAATCTGACCAACAAGCTTGTGGTGAGCTTGGATGTGAATCTTCCCTCAGCCTAGCCTGGAGGTGACTCTAGTCCTGGCTGACACCTTGATTTCAACCTTGCAAGTCTCTAAGCTCTTGCTCAGAGCTAAGCTATGCTAAATTCTTTATCCTAGAAGGCAAACTATTTATCCTAGAAGGCATGAGATAATGTTTGTTTCTTTAAGCCACTAAATGTTGGGGGTAATTTGTTACACAGTGATAAATAACGAATATACATTTTATTATTAATTATCTTGATTAGAAAAACGAGATGGATCATCTCTAGGAGAAAGTAGGGATTCCATTATATCTACATGGACACTGGGAGGCTTATCACCCTTGGCCTTGAATCTCTCTTTCAGCCCCTGAACAGTTAAGCATCAGAAGCTGAGAAAGCAGTGAGAGTAGTATCTAACTTCAGTTTAATGTAATCGTAAGGGACTGAAAATGTCTTTGCAAAGATTAGAGTGTGAGAGAAATCTGGCATGGTTGACTCCATTCTGCCTCTAATCTCACAGGCTACCTCTCTTCACTTACTGATTTCTTGCACATAGGCCAAGCTACCATTGGAGGAATTTAGTTTTTATTTTAACTTTGAAGTAAGGCTGGTAATAATCCCTCCCTAAAACTAACCCCCTCCTTGCTCACGGACTGAAGCCACCTTTGTAAAATGAATAAAAGGCCATGAGGTTCAGATTATGGGATGGGCCTGAATTATGCTAACATGCAGGGGTAGTTTCTATAATTTCTATTGCTCGGGTGTCATGTGGCCAGAGGTCACAAGGTTTGTAATTTTCCCAATTGCTCCTGTAGATAACATCACTATTGTAGAATGTAACAGTCATCTTTTGAGATGGTTTTCATATTTTTACATCCTGGCAACCAGCGGACCCCCTCTGAACTGAAGATTGATGACTCGATGGGTCCTGTGGTCTCCATCTAGAGGCAGACTCAGTGCATGGGGCCATTTTCCATCTCAATGATTTCACCCCCAAACCATCAGCAGCACCCATTCCCTAGCTCCCTGCCCACCACATTATTTATAAAAACCATGGCTTCTGAAGTTTTCAGAGAGACTGATTTGAGTAATAACTCCACTTAGCCCACTTGGCTAGCTCTGCATTAATTAAACTCTATCTCTACGCAATACTGCAGTCTCAGTGAACTGGTTTTGTCTGTGCAGTGAGCAGGAAGAACCCATTAGGTGATTATAGGGCTTTGCTGAAAAGCCCTTCTAACCAATGTCTGTCTCTAAGAGTTATGAACCTCTCACTCACTACTTTAAAAGCCTATTCATTAGCTTGGGGGTCTGTCATGGAAAAAGGAGTTTCTCTGATTTAAAAAACAATCCCTTAAAAAGCCACTTTACTAAACTTCCTTTTACAGATGGCCTCAGAACCCAAGTTGATTTCTTGGGGAGTGACACAGAATTTAGATAAAATACAGTATGCCCAGTTAAATGTGAATTTCAGATAAACATGGGACATACTTTTACTACAAAATTATTTGATGTCTATCTGAAATTCACGTTTAACTGGGCACACTATTTGTTGTTTTTGCTGAATCTGGCAACCTTACCAACCATTGTTTTGGACTGAGCTCCTGCGCTCCAACAGAACAGACTGAAAATCAAAATGGAGTCACCCATGCTAGAGTTCCAGGTCACAAACCTAAACTAAGTTGTTCTCTGACCTTTCCAGAAATCAGGAGAAAGAGAGAGAACCGCCCATTTCCCAAACAGGCCAGCTTAAATCTTCAATCAACGTGATGATGAAGTTCCTCTGCTTTAATCCTTCCACTAAAAAAGGTAACCTAAAGTAACTGGACGTTAACGACTTATTTTTCTATTGCTCTGTCTAAAGTAACTAATAGACTTTTTGTTCTTCATTTCTGCTTTCTTCAGTCCTTCTCTGTCTTTATAAAGCCAACCTCTGCTGCTCAGCTTATTGGAACACTTATTCTATTTGAGGAAATGAAGTGTTGCCTGATTTTAGAACTGCAAATAAAGCCAACTGAGATCTTTAAACTTGTTATGATTTTGTCTTTTGACACAGCTAACAAGGAACAGACCAGGAACAACTGCACTTCCCTGTGGCTGTCGGGATGGATCAGAAGCGGCAGGATGAAGACAGCAAGAGCCAGAAGGAGGCTTCAGCTGTGAATCATGTAGGAGGGCGTGGAGCTTAAACTCAGCTGGCGGCAGCCCTGACAT